ATGGTTGTTCGTTAGGAGTCAAATTGTGTGGCTGATCCACCTTAGTCCATGTTTTAAACGACAGATTGTCGTCATATTATTGTGTTCATGTAAGTGTAATCTGAGTTTGACTTCATTCCTCGTTAGGCAAGTAACAATTGGCAATATCAACCGTTTATCAAATGCAAATATGATCCTGTTGTAGTGATAAAATTAGTTTTATCACCTTTGTCAACGTGCTACTTTTTTTACTACAAACATCAACATGTAATGACATATCATGTATGCATGTGTATTCCTTTTGAGTTTTTATTATTATCAATCAAATGAAATAACAAGCTAGAATTAATTAGTGAAACCTGTGGGTTGACCGACCCTACCATTATCATTTTAATATGTATAATATTATAGTGAAACCAAATATGCTTATGATAATAAAAAAAAAAACATTTTGGTATAGTGTCAATTATCTAATGTCAACATATAGACTTTATATCAGCACCAGAAACTTTTTGTTATCACTTCATTTATGTTTCATTCTGTTATTTACAGGTGAAAGGGAAAAAGAATGAGGTTTTTAGTGGTTAATTTGATCTTAGCATTAAAGAGTGCAAGATATTTTGTAAAAATAAAATGAGAATTCAAATCAAATCAGATTTGGTTTGCTCAGTGCAGAAAATGGGTGGTGTCAACGAGAAGTTATCTTTTCTTAGTAGAATTAACAAAATGACATGATGTTATTCGCGTATATATAAATTTTCAATCCATAAAAGTATGAAACGTGGGTAAAAAAAACAAGAATATTGAAGTGGTTAAGAGATATGATTGAATGCTTTTTTATTCACGTCTCTGGCAAACCATATAGTAGAAGTTAGGCGCTCCACAAATACCTTTAACAAAAGCATTACATTGTTAATCAGTGGATCCATTATCTCCACATGCTCAAGAAGCAATAAGACTCATTGATTTACATGTGACATGACGATGACAAACTCCTCGGATCAAATAAATTAGTGATTATCTTTTAACTTTTAATCTTGTAGTAAGAAAGTTAAGAGGCAGCTAATAACTGCATTCTCCCACCTAATCACTGCCCCACCAAAGAGCATTAAAAAGGGAGGAAAAGAAGAATCAAACATAGAGGATGGTTACTTTTGTTATGAGTATTAATGACCAAGCATGTGTGAAGAGGCTACTTGTGCTTTCACATTATAATTTGAACAAAATTTGGATCTCTTGTTTTCCATAAGTAATATAATATGGTCATATTAGAGAGAAAAAGATTCCTTTTTTTTTTTATCAATATGGACCTATATTGATTAGTATAGTAGGTTTCACTAATTAGCGTTAGTAAAAATTGTATTGTTTTTCTCTTTAATATAACTATATTATTGTTACTCAAAAACATCCAAATCCATTTGAACATGACTCTGCATAGAAGCTTTAAAGTGGTGCCATTACCAAATCTGTCCATTGAGTGCTTATTACAATTATCACACAAGGATCTCTTCTTTACAAATGAAAAAGACGTTCAACATTCCACCATTACATTCCTCATCCGCATTTCAAGTGTGCAAGCTAGTACTTAAGGGACTTACTTGTCTCACCTTTTGGTCAACTTGTCCAATCATTATGGGGACAAAAGAACGAAATCAGGATCCGTGTCAATTGAATGTATTTCTCTGAAAATCTTTAACCTTTTGCGACCAATTTTCTTTTGTCTTGCTATTTCCTTTTTCAAACTCACTGCCAAATGCATGAACACCTAAAATTTGTAGCCATTGTCACTGGTAAATGTCTTTAATCACCTTTGAAGCAATTCAATCGGTGCATCAAGTTTTTAATACTTTCATGTTTGACTAAATTATACAGATAGGATTAGTCACCATCAAGTTTTGACGATGATCTTCTCAAAATCATTGTGAGTTGGTGAAAATTGTGGAGAAGATAAAAAACAGTAGCATGAACATTTTATAGCAATATTTTGGAACCATAGGTTTCACCATTGGATTTCATCACATGGTGGAATCAATCCAGTTTTAATAATTTAGACCAATAAGCAAAAGCCAGGACTACTCATCTTTTGAATGTATAAAATAAAATAGCGACAAAGACATTACCGCTAAGCCAATCCAAACAGGCCAATCGACAGGAGAAAAAAAATAGTTAAAAGGAAAGCAAGAAAGTGAAATGTACATGAGATTTCTTTGTCATATTCTTATTTTGTGCCATTATCATAAATCAGATACTTGACCTAACTCCATTTCCCAGTACATCCTCCCTCCACGCATTAACTCTAAACAAAAATAATTTCCTTGATATAACATTATTTTATCTAAATCATCGCTCCATTATTTGGAAAGTTCAATGTGAAGTTGGTCGATACTCATGAAAAAGTCTGTAATACGAAAGGCCCATTATGAAATTCACCGTGGGAGCACTAAAATTGGCATCAATTGTTACTTTTCAATCAATGAATAAATATTAATGGATTTTTAACCATAATAGAAGATACACAATAATAATTTTTATTAAAATAATAAAATATATAAAATTTAATATATTAATAATAATCCATATTTATTTTTTATTTGTGAATATGTGTTCTTAAAGATACATTAAAAAAATAAAATATTCAATCTGTATGCAATGGTCAGGTAAATGCACATAGCGGGACATTATCATATACTAGGAGTTCCTCTAATGAACGTAATTGTAACACAGTAGTGTTAATATTATGCAGTATATTCGTTTATAATTCTGAGCCACCAAAGTAACAATTACCAGGATATTGACGTCTCATCATACGTGAATATCATCATGCCACATTGATAATCTTACTTAGGCTAGCTACTTGTAAACTCTGCTTTAGTTTAGTATCAGATGTCTGATCCCAACAAAGCACTTCTATAAATAGACGTAGGGAATTGAGTACTGATAAGAATCTTGAACGCCCATTTTCATATATTTGTAGTATTTAATTGCAGTAGCCTTCTGAAAATTTTATTCTAGGATGTCTTGACAATGAACTCTTTGAAAATATTTCCTCTACTTTGTTTCTATGAAGCTTAAAATTTTACATAAAAATTTTAAAAATAATTAATGTTTAATTTTTTATTAAAAAATTACTTTTTTCTATTATATCTCTCGTCTATTATACTAATTAAAATGAAAAAAATGGGTTAGTAGAAACAAGATGGACATTGAAATAAGCATAATTTTTAACTAAACATATGTTAATTATTAAGGACAAATTTATTAAAAAACAATTAATCATTTTTATTAAATAATAATGTAAATGAACAGAATAAATTTATTGATGTATAATATTTAGTTTATTAAAAAGTTACCGTGATGCATCATTTATAAGGTTTTGTTAATCTTGATCTTTAAAATTGAATTTAAACAAATAAAACTGGCAAGCTTTTTTTGAAATGAAATGTATTCATAAATATTTCTTAAAATAAAATATTGCTATTTTTTACTTTTAAAATTCAACCTTAAAAACTTAAAATCAATATTTTCCTGACCTATAAATAATAATCATTGTAGGATTTATACAATCGATTCTGTCAGTATAAATGACTAGAATAAATATTTGCACAAATAAATATTCACCTTTTAGAATTTTCTTTAGTTAGACAATAAACTCTATTTTCGAAAAAAAACTGAGCTAGTTTGATTTAATTTTGATTTTTAATTTGTAAAAATTATATTTTAAAATTTTTTTATAAAACTGTTTTTAAGAAAAAATAAAATAAAATTTGTTTGATAATTTAGTTTTTAAAACTATTTTTAGTTAAACTTTTGTTAGTTTTAGAAAGAAAAATAGAAAAATAAAAAAAAATCTAAATAGTAATCCTATCTTTTAGTTTTAAAAACTAAAAAAATATTTTTTTAAAATATTTTTTAAAATTTATATTAACAAACAAGTTTTTTTATTTTTTTATTTTAAAAATAAAAAATTCTACTTAAAAAGAGAAAAACAAACAAGCTCTGATACTTCTTGATTTTATTTATGAAAAATAATAATGATTAATGAATCAAAATTAATAAAAAAATTTATAGCATTAAATAGTTAATAAATTATATATTAAATAAATACCTATAGCTATTTATAAAAAAAAATATAATAATTAATACATTTTAAAAATAAATCTGTATTTTTTATAATATAAAAAAAATTCTGTTCTTTTTGCCCAAGAAGAATCCATCCCTACAAAGCTAACTTTTGCCAAGTCAAGGTGGAGTGTTTGTTATATCTAAAAAATGGATACAAAAATAAATAAATTCATCAATAATTTAAAATCAAGTTTCTTCGACTATCGGTAAATTGAATTTATTTTCCTTTATCTTTTTACGTCTGTTCTTTCACAGGCATTATATTTTTTACATTGGTGATTTAGTATTGACATTAAAATTTTTGTTTTGGGTCAACAACATTGACTCTCTTTCTGTCACTCAACACATGGAATTTTTTGTCCAGAACAAATTAATTTTTAAAATACTGGTTCCACTCAGGTCATGTCCCTGGGTTGGGTTTGCCGATAATATATTAAAGGAAGCCATAGCCCATGGGCCTGAAATGGAAATGTTTTGGACCTATGGACCAGTGCTTAATAGATTTCCTAAATAGACTTTTGGGCTCCCAGATGCAAATGACCCCAATTGAAAAGTTTATTGTATTAGGTAAACTTGAGCTTAATTATGCACAAAGAAAGAGCTTAATTAAAATCATAAAAAGAAACAACTTTTGTGTAACACGGTATTTACAGGGACAACTGATAATATATATTAAAATACTATTAATGCACTTTTAAAGGCAAATTTTATTATTATTTTAATAATCTTAAACGTCGATATATCTCATAATAATATCGTCAGTGCAAGATACTTTGTCTTTGATGCCTTAAACAGAGAATATATTCACAATAACTCATAATTAATTATAAAAAAAAAAAAAAGCCAGCCGGCCCCTGGGCTTGCCATTTTCAACAAACAATGTTAAAAAAATTTGATTTATGGGCCCGCCAGGAACTTCAAGACAACGACTAAGGTATGAAATCCAGTTGGCATCCCAATGTTTGAACGAGTCCAGCATGCATTTGAAAGCCATTGCTTATGGACAAAGTGCTGTTTAGATGTAATTAGTACGATTTAGTAATTTAAAATTTTTTTATTTCAATAAATTTATATTTAACATTATTATAAATTATTAAAATAAAATTTAATTTTAAAAAATTTATATCTAAATTTTATTCATTAAAATATTGCATCTTTTGCCCATAGACAATTGCGTGGACATTGATCCCCTTCAAATTATTTCGTAGTCGATGTTTTCGATGCAAAATCGTTGATTGTGGACTGACCGTTTTTATAAATAATTTTTATAATATATGTTTAAACATATATAATAATTTTTCATTAAAATTATAATAAGAATAAATGTTTAATAATATTAAAACATTAGTTGTTAATTCATTAAAATTTTATTTTCTAATATTTCTGTGTGTCATTATCTGATTTCGTGATCATATGTAGAAGAGAGTTCTGCTTCACCCGTTTCAACTATCTTCATATCTGAAACTGAAACATGTTCAGTGGTCGTTCTTCCCCACCCAAATGGTCTGCTCCATTCTGTGCCTGCGGAGACGACCCTAAAACTTGTAAGATCTGTTTATATAAAGTTTTATGTCTATAAACCATCCTAATTACTAAATAAAATTTATTGATATTTCTCATGTTTTTAAGATTTTATATGTATATATAACCCTTTTTTTAAGTAAAAAGAGGATTGTTAAAAGATTTATAAAAAAATTGAATGATAACAATAATAATGAAAAAAAATTAAATAGTATTTAATTATGTTCATGTATTCTATAAATATATATTATGTTAGTTATAATGTATATAAATAAATTATTGAATGATGAAAGAGTAGTTGTAATGGTAAGTTTAGAAGCATCTTACATTCTTTCCCATGCTAACAAAAAAGATTTGAATAGTGTAAGGCATTAATTGATGGTTGAATTGTATATCTCTAAACTTATGGAAATAATTAAAGGTAATTAATAATGCAGGTTTGATAACTTGCTGTCTACCGTGCATCACCTTTGGCCAAATCGCAGAAGTTGTGGATGAAGGGCGTAGCTGTAAGATCGATGAATAAAAGAAAATATTGATACTAATTTAGTTTGATATGTGATAGCTAATATCTTTGATGGGTTTGAACAGCTTGCGTTGGACAAGGGTGTGCCTATGGGTTACTCATGTTGGTTGCGTGTCACTGGCTCTACTCGTGCCTTTACAGAGAGAAACTGAGGGCAAAGTTTGGGTTACCAGCAGAACCTTGTTGTGATTGCTGTGTTCATTGCTGCTGCGATGTTTGTGGCTTATGCCAAGAACATGCCGAGCTTAAAGCAAGAGGCTTTCACCCTTCCAAAGGTATATATACCCTACATCTTTATATTTTATCACATTTTTCACAAGAAAAGTTGCATGACGACTCCTTCATATTTTGTTTATATCTTTTGTACAAAAATAGAATAATAAAATCCAGATTCTAACATATTGCACAAAAATATTTGCAGGTTGGATTGGGCCATCAAATGCTCCTCCTCCAATGCCTCCTTCTATGATTAGATGATCCATCTGCCTCGACCCAGAATTAACAACAAAATCGTGTTATCATACTGGTCTCTGTTTTTCTTCCTGCAACTCTGTTGAAAGTGTTGTCCTTGCTCATGAACTTTATGAGATATATTTGAATTGAGATGATGAATATTATCATAAATTTCCTAGCGTTTGCTCTTCCAATTGTTTCAATTGATCTTAAATTAGCAGTGTTAAACAAATTTATATTAAGAAAAATGTAAGGTATCCTGAATACCTTTATCAAAATTTTTGCTGGAATGTTATGGCAATTAATGTATTGAATAATCTTTGACGAGTAAGTGAAACTTTTATCTAATAATTTGTAAAATTTTGGCTGTTTGGCCTGTACATTACTACTCTTATTTTATATATTTGATTTATTTAAAAAGTGTGATTCAACTGATATGCTATACAGGTAACTAATAACTAAAGTGCATTAATAAAATAAGCCTGAAATACTAATATCAGTAAGAAATTGTTTATTGCACATTAACTTGTATTAATTTAATTACAAATTAAATTGCTAATGAGTTGGATTAAATACATAAAATTTTATATGATTTTAAATGCAATTTATACTTATTGCATTTCTTTAATTTAATGTACAATTAGCTATTTAAAAGAAATAAACTAATGTCATTAATTTCATATCTATATAACCAATGAGAAGTTAATTTAAGATATACATGTATGATTTTCTCAGATAAGATCTTATATTTGAGTTTCTTATATAATTTCTTTTTCAATATAAAGAGTTAATATATTTTAGTATATTATAAATATTTTAAATTTAAATAAAATCGTCTCTTATAAAAATACCTATAATCCTAAACTAATTTTTGTATAATTATTAATGTTTAATTTATTTAAAATTGACATGTCCGCCCCTCAAATTTATACAATTAGCTTGATGTGTCATTATTTAATTCATATAAGGCGTGCATGCATAAACCAGAATTATCAATAATATTTAATGTCAGATACCATAAAATAAAAATAAAAATAAAAGCATGTTTGGTTTGTGTTTGTTAAGATCAAATCCAATCGTATTGAGTTTCATTCTCAATCTATACCACACTCGACAATATGTTAATTCCAAACAACGATTTGATTGTGAAAGAGGAAAATAAAATAAAACTTTGATGACTTAAGCTTAAAAATAAGATTGGTTATTCACCATTTAGCATTTAGCGACATTTTACACGCATGTTCATAACGTTAATATATTTTTCATTATTTATTAAAAATTATATAATTTTTTTCTTTTTTATTTTTAATTTAATATTTTTCTCATAATTTATATTTTAATAATTTTTAATAAATTAAAAGTAAAATAAAAAACATGTTACTAATAAAATACAAAATTAACTAATATAACTGTTAATTGAAAAATTATTATCAAGTAGATTAATTTTATAAAAATAAAATTAATAACTACTTATTTCATTACTTTATTTTAATGAGTAATTTATTTTTAAAATGTGAATAAATATATAATTTTAGACAACATACTTATCAATATTTAAATTATATGAAATTTAATATATATATATATATATCATAAAATAATATGATTATTAAATTTATCAATTTCACATTTTATAAAAATTATTACATAACATAAATATTTAAATTGGACAGGTAAAACGAACAATTTTATATTATATAGAAAATTATTAAATAAAATAAATGTTTAAATTTCACATTTGACTGTCTCTTTATCTTTATATATACCGATAATATTTTGATAAGTACGAAGGAGAGCAAGTTTGGGTGTAAAGTTGAGACAGAAGCAGGGGACTTGAAATTATTTTAATGAAGGGCGTCCAAATGACAAGTTATCACTTGAATTTGTTAAAATATATTGTCATGTTAAGTATAACTTGCTAACATGTTTTTAAAATCAATGAGAAAGATTAAAATTTTATATGTTAGCATAAAGTAAATTACACTTCACTCCAATTCATCCTTTCGCCTGTAACTTAATCAGTATATTTTAGATTTAATGAAATATATCATTCAACCGCGGCTTTTTTTTATTTAAATATTATAAATTAAAAAACTATTTATTAAATTATCATTTTTTTCAAATTAATTCTTTGTCGGGAGTAAATTTGTCACATCAACTAGTAATTTCACCATACTAAATGACAAAAATTTATTTTTTAAATTTTTTTAATAATAATTTTCGTTACTGATAACGCGAAATACATTAGATTAAAACACGTGTCAACGAATTAATAGTTTCGCCATTTAAATGGCGAAATTAATGAGGAGTTTCGCCACCATTGCTGTGCAACTAATGGAAAAATGATACGTGGATATGATCGACTTATTTCACCACCAAAAACGTGAAAGTTACAAAATAAAATAAAATAAAAATTTAAAAAAATTTAAAATGAATGGCTAGAGAGTGGCGAAGACAGGTGGCGATATCCTACTTGTTGCGCACTATACGAAAGCGTGTTTCGCCAGTTTTGTTGGCGAAATCAATGGGAGGCTGACACGTGGCAGGCGGTACAGTAACCGTCCCCGCCCCTTCTTTCCCTTCACTCCTCCTTTCATTCTTCCATTTCTGCTTCCATTCCTTCATATTCAGTTCGACACCTCCTCTCCTCCATTTCTAAAATATTGCAGTGAAAAATTTTTGGTAAGATTATACAGTTTATAAATTTCTATTTAAGATAATGATATTATTTATATTTATGTGCAAATTTATATTCTGTTTATTATTTTAAAATGCTGAAAAAAATATTTTTTGTTTTGCAAGTAAACACAGTTTAGAGAGAATTAGAAGAATTAGAGGTTAGTAAAATTGATTTAGTTAATTTTTAATTTTATTTCATTAATTTATGTTTAGATTAATAGATTAAAAAATAAAATTTGACTGATTATGTTAAATTATTAAAAAAATTTGTAGACAAAGAATAATATAATGCTATTTGTTAATTATATGTTTGTATAATATTATTAATATGATGTTGTATAATATATTTGTTACATATTTATTTAGAGAATAATACAAAATTAGTTAAATAAAATAATTTAATAATAATAAGAAGAAATATTTGGTTTAATTGTATAAAATATTTTGTATACGTAAATAAATTTTAATTATGATAGGAAGATTATAAATTTTGTAAATTTATGTATTGTAAATATGTAAGTAGTTTGTATTTTTTTTAAATGGATTAAAAATTTGTATGTAACAATTAAGTAGATATTATTTTATTATGTTATTAAAATTAATAAAGATAAATTCATTATTATAAATATGTTAGTAATTTGTATGTAAAAAATTAAGATTAATTAAATATTTGTATGTATTAGTAATTTGTATGTGAATATATTGTATTATGTATGTGAATATGATTTGTAGGTAACATACTATTAAATTTAATTATTATTATTATGTACTATTATTAGTAATTAGTAATTAGTAATTTGTAATATTATTATTCATTTTAATTATTATTATTATTATTATGTATTATTATTATAATATAAGATAAATTCAATGTTATGTATTATTAGTAATTAGTAATTAGAATGTAAAAAACTATTAGTAATTTGTATGTAAAAAAAAATTAATTGTATTATGTAAAAAATTTAATTTAATTTTTAAATGTAAAAAAAAAATTGTTTGATTAAATTATTATAATTAAATAAGATTAATTAAATATATTATAATGAAGTTAGTAATTTGTATGTGAATATAAAAAAATAAATAATGATATTATGTTAGTCATATGTTTATTTTTTAATTTGAATAAAATTACATTTGATATGTTATGATATTATATTTTTAATTAAGTTGTTTTAATTTAAATTTTTGTATGTACAAAGAAAATTTTATTTTTACAATAGTAGGACATTTTTGTCCAATTACAATGTGATTATAATTTTATAATAAATTCAAAAAAGTTCTAATTAATTATGTTAGGATATTTTGTTAAATGTGATAATAATTTGTGCGTAATAATAAGCATTATATATAATTATGGGTATATTCATATTTTCATTAAACATGAAATACTAATAATTTTATTGACGAATGAAGTTGATATTTTTATTTATATGTTGTTTTTATTTTGTTTTTTGTATAGATGACATCATCTTCGGGACAAAATAGGGTTATTAATCTCGGGTCAGAGGATTCATCACTCTTTCGATTTCAGAGTTTTCATGTCTCTAAACATATTTGGGATGGACGTGATCACCCGATGTTGAGGGTCAGGAAGAGTCAAAATATTCCTGGTAGATTAGAAGGTGTTTCTCAGAAAATTATTCCGCATTTAGAGTTAGCCAGTTTTATTAGAGTGACTAACTTATCACAATTTCCTTTGGACGTGGGACTGATTACTGCATTAGTTGAGAGGTGAAGGCCTAAGACGCACACTTTCCACTTGCCCCCTGGAGAGTATACTATTACTCTTCAGGATGTTGCTATCCTATTGGGGCTACGCATAGATGGGAGACCGGTTATAGCACCTACTGGAGGTGATTAGGCTCAGATTGTTGAAGACCACCTAGGTATCAGACCAGGGCCAGATGCTTTTGTAGGGAGTTTTTTGAAGATGAGCTGGTTGGATGAGCACTTTAATCATATTGGGATGCATAATCAGAATGTTGTACAGATTACTCAGTTTGCTAAGGCATATATATTGATGCTGATTGGAGGGTTCATGCTTCCTGATCACTCTAGCAGCAGAGTATCTGTGAGGTACTTAACTTTACTTGATGACTTTGAGTTGACCGGTCAATATAGTTGGAGATCTGCAGTTCTAAGTTATTTGTACTGAGAGCTATGCATGACCACCAATATTGATCGCGTTACTATTGGAGGACTTGTTGCGTTGATTGTGATGTGGGCTTGGGATAGATTTCCCCATCTAGCACCTAGTAATCCCCCTCATACACGTGTCAATCTTTCATATGGTGTGAGGTAAGTTAGAATTCATTTTGTATGCTGCATTATGAGTTTACCCTTTGTCCTCTGTTGTGTCAATAATATATGTTTATATTAAAACTTCTCTTGTAGATGGTTATCACATGGTACAAGGAAAGGGAAGAAGGATGTCCAGTCCTACAGATATATATTAGATCGTTTAACACGTGATGAGGTAATAAATAATTTTCAGCTTGAGTTATTAAACACTTATTAGTGTAACCATATTTTAATTAATTGTCGTTGAATTTTTTTTACAGATTGTATGGGTGCCATACAGCATGAAGCTCATCAACATGTTGCCACCTATCTATAGAGACAGCATGGACTTATGGAGGGTTGTGGTGCCCTTGATATGTTTTCAGGTATGTGAATGACACCAATCTGATCGAGTGATGCGTCAGTTTGGTATGATGCAGCATATACTTAAGCCTCCTTACTAACCTGACCAGCTACATGACCTTACACTTAGAGGAAAGACTTGAGAAAATTGGTTAGCCAAATTTAGTGCTATATTAGAAATTTGGGAGAATAGAAGACTTTGGGTGATGACTAATGAGGCACTATATGGATATCTTTATTTTATTATTTATATCCTTCACACTTTGGGGGCAATTGGTAAATAAACATCCACAAATAAATTAAGGTAAATAAACATTAACACATATTCAAATGCCAAACGTTTACTAATCTAAATTAAGTTCAATAAATCCTGCCTGACATTTAATCGCCATCATTAAGTTGAGGACAATGTCGTCGATTATGACCTACTTCATTACATTTGGTACAACTTTGCCTACTTTGTGACTCAACCTAGTCTATCTCATTCCTAATGCGAGTTGACTTTGGTCGTCCCTTACTTCTTGCTCTTTCGACATCAGGCATCAACTTCTATCCACCATTCATAACGATATTGCAATCATTTTCAAGTGGGTTCTACTATGAGGAATATGCATTTACAACATATTGCATTGAATAAACTAGGTCAACATATTGCCAAAAATCAATACTCATATCTATACAGGCAATGATCACATGCGAGCAAGGAATTTGATATGACTGAAATTGTCCACATTCACAAAATCTTCTACCCAATATAACTGTCTATTTCTGTCCATCCCTTTGTGTTAGTGGATTAAACGCTTCTTCCACTTCAAAACTAGTTCTTTGTATGTCATATCGACAAACTATATGTGATGAAGCCTCTTGTTGATTTTTTTTTAATCTGTATTATAACTTTACGAGTAAACATGCTTCCATTATGAAGATCAGACATAGCCTTTTCTCCACGCTTAACAAAATATTCAACCAACCATCCATACGTGGCTTTTACTAGTGCAGTTATGGGTAGATTTCTAGTATCTTTCAATACCTTATTCACAGCTTCTGAAAGATTTGTGGTCATGTGTCCATAACGTCGCCCTTCCTCATCATAAGATAATGCTCATTTCTCTTTTAATATGCAATCAATCCACCTCTGTATATCTTCAAATTGATTACAAAATGTAGTTAACTTTTGCTGAAATATGACCTTCGATGGTGTATAACCTACATATACAACATTCAATTCATAATATATACCCAATTTGATGAGCTCTTTCTTCAATGCTATATTTTTTAACAGATGATTAAAGTTGCTGGCAATATGACGAATGCAGTATACATAATATGCATTTAGAAGTTGCCACCCAATGTGTAGATTTGACACTGCCACTTTTATACTTTGATGCCTATCTGATATCAAACAAATTTCTGTTCTATCTGTAACATGCAAACGAATCAATGCCAAAAACTATTCACAAGCTGACAAAGGTTCTCCTTCAACAATTGCAAATGCTACTGGAAGGACACAATTGTTTCTATCTTGAGTTGTTGCAATGAGCAACGTGTGACGATACTTACCATATAAGAACGTCCCATCTACTTGTAAAATAGGTTTACAAAATTTAAAAGCTTCATGACATTGTTTGAAAGACCAAAACAACCTTTCAAATACTCTAAACCTGTTATCCATTTGATGACCAATCACATACTCTTTCGTTTCAATTTTATAAACGGATCCAGGAGCATGTAATTGCATGTATTCTAATCAATGTGGCAACATACCGTATGATTCATCCCAATCACTAAAACTTTAACAATGACTTTTTGCTTCGCCTTCCAAGCTTTTTTATATGAAATTTTGTATCCAAATTGTGCACTTATTCGCTCTTGTATTAATGAAATATGTATCGACGGTTCTTTATTCACCATTCCTACATCAAATTAAATTGATTTAGTTAAAAACAATTCAAATTATATATAGATATTAAAACATAAAATTATGAACATATAGAAAACATTTGTCTTACCAACGATGCATGAACATATCAAGTCCGAATCTAACTTTTGATGATCTTAAGAAATTCTAAGATTGACACATGTATGTGAACCGCCCCATCTAGTAATTTTTCACTTGTTTGAATTCTTCAATGAAGCCCTCACCCTCTATGGACAATCAGAGGTATGGTTCAAACATTTCACATACAAACATGTTGGTTTAGACTCAGCCACAAAATAATTTTCATGAATCTTCATTGCGTAATGTTTTAATGTATTTTTCACATCTTCTTTACCATCAAATAACAAGCCAACCGATAAGGGATCCCATTCAACCCATGAATTTACATCTTGAGAGTTTTCTTCAATCATCTCTTCATCAGGATGTTCCCAATTAATATACTTATATTATAGAGTACTATTCCAAAAAGGAATTATAGTATCTCCTGCATCATAATTTGCAAAAATTTGTAAGATTATTATCAACATATTTAATGAAAAACAAAACAAATTAAACAATAGTCCATATTACCTCCACCTAAATTGTTTTCTTGTATATTTAAGTTGGAATCAAACTCGCCTTCAACATCAATAGAAGAAGAATTGTTTAGTGAAATATCTCCTTCATCACTTTCATCATTGTAACTATCGTAATCTGAGTCTTCATTATCTTCATCAACTTCAATCCTAATTCCTTTATTTATTGCAACAAATATATAAATTATCATCTAACAAATACATATATTAATAAATTATTTTATAAAGTAATTCATATTACCTTCATAGTAATCATTACTCAAAATCATCCTATTATTTTGCTGTGAAAGTGATAAATTTAAATTCATCATCTGCGACGGCACTAATGAACTCTCACCAATAGCAATATCCACATACAACTCTATAACACTTCTACTAGATTGTTGTTAAAATGCACTTATCATACAATCAATATCTTCATTATCACAAATATCCAAAGCTGTATACTGTCTATTATTTCTATCAATCAAAAAACGTGAAATTAATTTAGAAATAACTTCATTACGATCAAGATTAAGTTTAAAATGAATTTTTCTTTTTAAGGCTTCAAAACTTATTCCTTGCTTTATCTGAATCATTTTCTTTTTTCCTTCAAAACTCACACCTTCATTCCCTTCATAGATTCTACCATTCCAATATATCATTATAATATGTCCACTCATCCTGCATTTTTACAAATAAAATTTATTTAATATCTAATTTTTTTAAAAATAATATCAACAAAATAATATTACTTCTTTATTAATCAATTTATTTAATTAAAATTAAATACACAATAACTACATTCATAAATTTACATGAAATGAAGAAAAAAAATATAAATTTGACTTGTTTTCTTTCAAATGTGTTAGTCGACAAAAGTCTTGTGGTATGAAAGTGGTGTGTTTGTAGCTCGAGAATGGTGGAAATATTGAACAGAGCTGGTTGCTCAACTACTCAATGAAAAGCTCAACTCAAGTAGATAAGAATGTACTAAATCAAGGCAAAACCAGTACCCTAAGTTCGTCTCCAATCGAAGTCCCAATTCAAGTGTGCCAAACACGCATTTTTCTATTGATTGAAAAGAATATGAGTGAGAGAAGTTGGTGGAGATGGGGAGGGATAAGTGTTCAAGTTTTGCCTTGCAAATGGCAAAAGTTAATGAAAGTTTTGCCAATTTAATGAAGAAATACCAGTTTCGCCACTTGAATGACGAAAAACAAATTTTGCCCTGCACATGGCGAAAGTCACTCTTATTTTCGCCATAAAAAATGCAAAAATATCCTGATGCATACACGTGTAACGATCTTATATTTTTGCTCTTCTTGTGGCGAAACTAATTTAAAAAAAAAAATTATTTCGCCAACTGCTTTGGCGAAACACCACACCGGCGTGGCAAATTTATCCTAGATAGAGAATTAGTTTGAAAAAATCTGTAATTTAAGAAATATTTTTTTAATTTATATAATTTAAATAAAAAAGCCTTCAACCGCCTTTAAAATTAATAAACAAATAATTTTATAAAAATAAAAATTTGTAACTAGATGTTAATTATTTAGGGTGTATAGTATTATATTAGTAAAAAAAATGCTAGTAATCTTTTAATTTTTATTAAATATTAATGCATTTTTTATTTTTAAAATTATACTTTTCGTTGGGTTGAATCTTTCGCTCTAAATTTAAACATTAAAAATAGTAAATTTTTATTAAAAATATATATTGTATTAAAGTTAAAAAAATGTATAACATTTTTTTTATAATTTTTTATTCGTAATAGTTCCTTAAACTAAATAATAAAAAGTGATATTAATATATTTCTTAAAATGATGAATAAAGTACAATGCTCAATTTTAATAAATGTTCTTATAATATTTTAATAAAAATTTATCATATACAACTTTTTTAATGAAGGTTAAAAATTATAATTAAAATAATACAGGTTTAATTAATGTTATAATTAATGATCTTTTATTGATAAATATCACAATAGTAAAAAAAATAAAAACAGTATGAAGTATTTGTGCAAATTTAGTTAAGGAAAATTATTAACATTTGAAAAAAAATTAAATGTATTTCTTTTCAATTAAAAGGAAAAAAGTGATTTCAATATATGTTATTTATATAGTGATTTTTAAAATATAACCTTTTATTTTCATTTCATCAATCATATTGTCATATACATTTTTCTTTTTTTCATATATTTGCCTTTGTTATAAAAGAAAAAAAAAATACTAATATAATGTTTTTCGGCTAGTGGTGTTCCCATGAACAAAAATACAAGTCAATTGGAAAGAAAGATTCCCTCAGCATTCGTGCTTTTTCTCCGTTGAAACGTTTGTGGCAGACATTAATTAACAAGAAGGAATTTTCCGTTGAAGAGATCACATTATTGTTCAGTCTTTGGTTAATGGTTAATGGTTAACGGATGTACCCTTCTTCTGCGTTTTGTGTGAATAGTGACTTGTGACTCATGCTGTCAAGCAGCCTCACTTGATTATGCCACCTAATCAACCTCGTTTTATGGTACTTTTCTACATTTTCTATGTTTCTGTCACTCTCATTCTCCCTCCTCCATCTTATATATTAATCACAGTATTAACACCAGAAACTACAATCTCGGAGGCACCATGTCTGACAAAGTCAACGATGCTTTCAAGAAATACCTTCAGCAGCTTCAGCTCCATCCTCTCAGAACCAAGGTTTCTCCTTCGCTTCCTGCTTCGAACCCCATATTCAATTCCCTTTTCAAATCTCTCTTTTCACCCCTTCGCTTTCTTTTAATTTCTAAGAGATTAATTGGGTTGAAAGATTTTTTCTCCCTTTGGTTTTTAAGAGACTAATGGGTTTGTTTGTTTTTTTTAATTGTGGGTTGGTAGGCAATTACTGCAGCAGTTCTGGCTGGTTTAAGTGATGCAGTGGCACAGAAGATATCTGGGGCCAAGAAGCTTCAGTTGAGAAGGTTGTTTCTTTTCATGGTAAGGATGCCCATTTCACTTTGGTTTTTCTAAATTATTCCATGTGAGAAATCACTGTTTCAATTTCATTGAATTTCAAGCTGAACTGTATCCGTTTCTGGATCGAATTTTCACACAAGAATTATCAGTATTTTCCATGAAGCTTACTAGAATATCGTCTTTACCGTTAACCATTTCATGACTCAATCAGTGATCATATATATGTAAAAGAAATAAAAGTTGGCACACGTGGTAACTGTGTCACCTTTTTCTCAAAAGCTGAAGCATAAATTATAGTTTGTTGTGAAACTTTTAAGGACTGAGTTAATTTAAAATCATATTTTGCAGCTCTATGGTTTCGCCTACTCAGGACCCTTTGGACATTTTCTCCACAAATTGATGGACAAACTCTTTAAGGGGAAGAAAGGCAACGAAACTGTTGCTAAGAAGGTATATAGTTAGCTTGTATTATTGGCTGTCTTCTGGCCCCTTCACTTATATGGATAGTACTTTTGTATGATTGTTATGTTGTTAGGCTCTATAATTCCTTATTTCTTGTTAATTTTGAAGTAATGCTCTAATGAATGAAATATCCTATTAGGTGATCCTTGAACAGATAACCAGTTCCCCATGGAACAACTTTTTCTTCATGATGTACTATGGCTTGGTTATAGAAGGTATGCTCATTCGTAAGATACTTTTGTATTTTGTATGGTACACCTCTATTTACACAGTGATTTTGAAACATTTATATGAATAAGATTAGTGCCAACTTTTGTTGTTAACGCCTTGTCCTCTCTGCACCCACCACTTCCCTACTACAAAAATAAAAACATGTTTTTTTCTTTCCCTCTTTCCTTAAATACCTGCCTTTTATGGATATCATGGTTATAATGCAGCATGCCAATGCAAGATGTTGTCGCTTATTATTACTTAATCTTCACTTGGATTCTGTTACTGTTGTATCGCTGATGTTGGGATACATCATCCTAGGTGCAAATTAGAAATTTTGGATGTCAAAATGGTGTGTTCCTCTTGAATTTGTTGCTTGGAAAACGAATTCACTCAGTGCCTTCTATATCAACTCATTTTCTCAGTTTTACTTCTATGTTTCTTGGGATAACTCTGAAAATGAATTTCAATGCATGGAGAATGCTAAATGTATCAGTAGTTATTTTATTATTTCATTTTCTAAATAATAGTTTCTTAGCCTTATCTTTGATATGAATTCGGGCAATTTCTTTTGATACATTTTAGCACTTAAAACTAAAATATTTTTGGAAAAAACAAAACAAGTTCAATGCTTAACTTTTTATCACTAAAAATTCAGTGCAAAATTTTCCAGTTTTATATAACATACCCTTAAGTAATATGAAATCATGAACAACAACAAGAAATATACATTTGTTAAAAGAAGGGTCTAACAATATTTTTATCATTCCTAACTCAGAAGCACACAAAGGGTTTCTAACAACTGAGTTTTTATTTCCCCCCACTGTCTTGTCCAAATGAAACTTTACGTTCGATTTAAAATTTGGAGGAGTGCTATATAAGGCACTACTTGTACGTCTCTAAGTTAGAATCTAACAAAATGTACTTATTCTCACCTATGAGAAACACATAAAACTTCCACAGGAAGGACTTGGCCAAACCAAAATAGGGAACAGTCTGGAATATTGAAATGGAAAAGAAAAGAGAGAGAGAAAAGAACAAGAAATAACAGAGAAACAAATTGTAAGTTTTACAATACTAGTATACGTGGAATGATATATAAAATTTAAGCTTCGTAGAATAGTATCTCTGTCTGATTTTATTCATGGACTACACCAAAAATGTAGGCAGCTTCCAGGCATTATTAATTGTTCTAATACATTTTGGTGACTTAATGAATCTTGATTTTGTGACAAAAAAGTCTTTTGGAACATTTTCTGGCTTATGGATGATACAAGTGGTGTTACATGATTAACACAACCTGTAAATAAAATATCCTAACTAATTCTTCTGCATTGCATCATAATTAATGTGTGAGGCTGGTTTGCAGGAAGACCTTGGAGTATAGTCATGAACAAAGTTAAGAAGAACTACCCTTCTGTTCAGTTGACTGCATGGAAGGTATGGCAATGAGGATAATCTTCTGCTATTTTTATGTGGGAAGTTTGAAAATATAATTTGTTGGAGTTATATTGTTTTTAACTTGCAGTTTTGGCCTATCGTTGGTTGGGTGAATTACCAGTATATGCCTTTGCAGTTCCGTGTTATATTTCACAGCTTTGTTGGTGCATGCTGGTGAGTTACATCTTTCAAATTGCTATTTATTATTCTTCCGTGATTTGTTCTTTCCATCATTCATCTGTTCTGAAATTAATGACTAAGCATCATCAGGTAATAATTCTGTAAGAGATATGCATTGCATTTTGAATTACAAAAGATTCTTACTGACTGAAATTATATTATTTTCTCTGAGAACCAGGTTTAGTTTTGACTTTATGGGAAAGGTCATAAGAGAGGATAACTTGTAAAGTGGGATAAATATGATATTGTGACTTTTTAACTTGCAAGAGCTACCAAATCCTTGCTATAAGGCTTATGCCTAGTAAATTCCACCAAGTATAATACATTGTTGTAGTTTGATTGTTTGTTATGTAGGCTAAATCTAAAATCTAATTTGTCTATAATAAAAGGAAATAAACATAACCGATATGAATTGGATTCCATAAATGTTGATGGTGTTTGATTCACTCTGGAATCTAGATCTCTGTATCTTAAAGGAAAGTTATTTATCTACTCATAATTTAAAACTTTTTAGGAAACACATTCTTAGTGCCTGTTTGTACGGGGAAGTAAAATTCTGTTTCATGGAAGCCAAAAAAAAAAATTTTCTCTAGGAGAAAGTAAACTAAAAGTTGTGCCTTTGAATGGGAAAGTTTGTAACCTTGGTCTGCAATGTCCACCTGACAGACCTTAAATCAAATATTATAAGGGTTCATTTAGTGAAAAGGATAAGAAAATATGATAGAATAATTTATTTTATCCTATCATATTTTTTGACCAACAACATATTATAAGTTTATTTTATAGGTTTATTCTATCCTACTCTCTTGTGCAAATTAAATGTGTTATATAGATGGATAGGATCAAATAGTATAAGGTATCTGGTTTGTTATTTCAGTACGCATTAAATGTAAAATGAGATAAGAACTTATGATACTCTAATCCTATCTTGTTCTTCTTCAATTCTCATATCATATTTTTTCCTATCCTATCATGTCTACAAACAAACTCTATATGTTTCAGCACTTTGATCAATGCCTAGAGTTGGATCAAATGATGCAAATATGTTACTATTTTAGCATGAGGTTGAAGTGCCATAATTGGTTTTCACTTTTCAGTGAATTGTGACATGCACAGATTGCTTTGAGTTTCAACATATTCCTCACTCAACTAAATTTTCTATATTCATCGTGCAATGTGTAAACTGTTTGTGTTGTTCTTGTTTCCCTCGATTTGAATTGTATCATAAGGTGGTTAACTGGTAATACATTAACGACACTTGGTTGTTCCATCCTGCTCGAAATAACATGTATTTTGACAAATCCAAGTCATGTAGTACAGTTGAATCGATTTATGATTATATTTCACCATCAATCCCTTTTGTGAGGCAATGGCTTTAGCCTTTTGATCATTTTGAATTGTATCTAGTTTCAATATTTTGGATAGACTAGTGTGTGTTATTATGTTCTTTTAACATGCAACATGAATTACCTGATAATTAAGGGCCTCTGATTTACTTTTTTGCTTCAGGGCAATCTTTCTGAATCTGAAAGCAAGGTCTGTTGCGATTAAGAAGGCTGCCTAAGACAAACTTCTCTCTTTTGGGTATTCTTATGTTTCCTTCCTATGTAAACTGGAATGGAAAATCTACCATCTTAGTTATTACTAGGGGATCATTCATGATAATTTGTTTGCCAAATTGGACCTTTTTTTTTTCCCATTTCCATTAGTTGATATGGCTTAGTTGAACTTGCCCTTGACAATATGGATAAATGAGTTTTTGGTTTACTTCTTTTAAGTTGAAATGAAATGAAAAAATATGATCTCAATGGACCGACTTTGCACGCGAGCCCGCGGAAGATAGTTGCTTCCGTCTTAAGTCACATCTCTGTGACTCTCTGCATGCGTACACGGCAGTGCTTGTGTGCTGCGGAGGAGTCGTAAGCATCTAATGAATGTTTATAAATTTTATTTTATTTAAAACTGAGTGTTAATTAATGTAATTATATTTAAATTTTTAAATAAATTTCTATTGAAAACTTTCATACTGTATAACAACGCTGGATATATATGTAATATTTGTTTAAATATACGTAAATATAAATTCAACACAAAAGATATAACTCCATTAAAGTAAATTGTAATCTACGATTATTCAAATGTAACTACAAACACAATTTTGTATGATTTCATGGTAAATCTAAGCATGTACATAGTGTAGTAGGTATCTCCGTTTTACATTTTCCATGCACTTTTAATAAGGTAAGCACCTTTTGAAAATGAGTATTATACATTCACAAGGTGTATGCATCTAGTGATAAATGAAGAGAAAAAAATAAAAATATAATATTAAAGAAAAATTAAAATAAAAGGGTGATAAAATGCTTATACAGGTACAACTCAACTCATTTATCCTTTATGAATAACAATCCACATAAGCATCACACTTATCGAGCTTAGTTTCATTTTACTTTCAATCGGTTTACTTATTATGCCATTTGTGTTCCAACTATATTAAGTAGCTGAGGGCATCTTTATTATTAGTGAGTTTGAATTCACATTAAATTTTTTTAAAATAAATTTTATTTAATTAATGTTACAAAGTATAACTTTTCACGTTTAAATGTAATTTTATTAAATTTCCAAATATCCACTCTATGCAATTTTGGAGGATTCATCTAAGTTCACAAGGATCGATTCTCAAAGCAAGATTCGAGATAGTAGTTTCCTGATGGATAAAGCTTTTTGATTTGAATCATGCATGCAGAATCTGTTCTTGATTTCTGCCAAACAAATATTACCTTTCGTATTATTATTATTTTTTTTATAAATATTTCAACAACCATAAAAGTTAATTTTAAAAACGTGGTACGAGGAACAGCTGGTTTTTAAAATTTCGTAATATCATTTCCCCCGTCTCATTTTGCTACCTTGTTTTCAGTAGATAAAATTATGTTTTATTATTATTTTAATTTTTTAGCATAAAAAATTTTAATTATTAAATTATTAAAAATTTAATTTTTTTTTTAAATTACGATCAAGTCTAACTTTAAAATCATTAATCAAATTAAGTTTTAAATTTGACTCGTTTAAATAAATTAATCAAATTCAAATATTTTGTTTTTACCGGATAAACTTAAATTATAAAAATTATTTTTTCTTATTTCATTTACACCTAAGATTCTCTTTTTAAGTCACATTGGTGGAGAACTATCACTCAACTCGTGTTATCTTTGAATTTATTTTTTTAAAATATAATTATACATTTTCGCTGACATAAATTTTATAAATTTTAAAGATAATTTATTTCATCATTTAGTCGTAACATAACATATACATAACCATACACCGTAAACGATTATTTTAAAGTGAAATGTAACGTTATATATCTAGATGCATATCATCATTGATCCAAACCTTAAGTTGAGATGCCATATATGATAAATGAAACAATATTACTTTAATAAGTAGGTCACACGTAATGATCAATAAGCGCGCGGTAACAAATCCATATATATCAGCATTTATTTTTTATATACTATAAATTCATGTAACAACAAAAAAATTAATAATAGTTAAATTTGTTTTCGTTAATATAATTTTTATAATAAAAATTAGCCTCTTGATACAAGTAATATAGATCTATGCCAACAATGTAACGTACCAGTAATGTATACAATTGAAAATTATACGTCAATTTTCTATATCAACTAACAAATACAAATATATTAATATAATAAATTAATGAATATTATTAATACATCGCTCTGTTGGTGTAAATTTATAATATTTAGATTAATAGAGTTCAATGAAAATTATATCAACAAAAATAATTATAATCATTAACTTGTTTTTCGTTAATATTTATGTTTTAAAAGTGATCAAAATCTAAATAATTTTTAATCAATGCTGATTAATACCAATTGTACCATCCACTTCAGATCAACTTGGTCTACATAAGAAACAACTAATCATCAAAATCAACCTATGATACTTGAAAAAGAAAAGGAAAAATCAGAAGAAAAAAATAATGGGTGACGATGATCTACACCTTGATTGTTTCTCAAGCACAAACCACCAACTTCAAACTAACCTGTGCACAATACGATTCATGCATGCGCTTGCAGACACGAACATTCTGTGCTGATGCCCAAGCAAAACTCGCCACGTCATCATCACTCGTACAAACTTTTACATGCGAACCCACTTGGACACCTGCGCGGGGTTCACAATCCCCTTTATGTGGGTCCCATTTGTCTTCATTATGCTTGCTACCTTACGGTAACTCTCGTGCTCCACGGCTGAAGCTTCGGCTTGCGAGTTAATCTTTGGCTCGGTTGAGGTGGAGTCAACGAAGGGGATAGGGCTGGCTCGGGCTGAGTCAGGCTCAAACTTCTTACCCAACAGAGTCCCTTTGGTCAAGAACTCGTGGGCGAGATAGCCGGCTAGAAGACGATTGGAGCGCATCGGCTCGCCAGCTTCAGGTCGGTCGCGTTTTTTGGGGTTGCCACCTGGCAACATCCGACGGGGACGGTGACTCATCGGCAAGGGCTGAGATGATGCCATGCAAGAAGCAAACGTGGAGGGGCAAAATGGCGAAATGGAGGATTCTTCAATATTCGTTTGTTGTTAACCAAGGAATGATGAACCGGGTCCACAGCAAACGGGCTCGAACAACGCACTTAAAAATAGTTTTAAAAATCCCTAGAAGATAATGAAAGCGACAAGGGCAAAATAAAAAATAAAAAATAAAAAATAAAATAATTAGCAATAATAATAAAAAGGAGAGAAAAGAGGTGGCTAGGGTTGAGGAAGGGGAGGATGAGGAAGCGGCGTTGGGTGGACGAAGGAGTGGCTAATCTGTATGAGAATCAGCGGAGAGAGGAAGAGGATTGGATATGGCTGAGAGTGAGTGACAGAGATAAGAGGGTTTGTGATTTGGAATTTGAGTGAGAAACTCGAATAGAAGACGGAGAGAGGGAGAGGAAGAGGGAATAACACTGTGTGAGGGGAATTGGGGTCATTATATATTTATATGAGTTTTTTTACACATGTGTCCCTGTGTTTTCATTATATAACTGTTATGCACTAATTAAATAATAAATCTCAGTTATTATTTATTTGTTATAGGCTATAAACAGCCTCAACATTAGGATATATGACTGAAATTGTTTATATTAGTCTTTGTACTATAAATGTATTTTTTTTATTTTTAAAACTATTTTTTATTAAAATTTTTAATTTTTCTAATTTTGAGTATGCAATTTTATTTTAATTTATTATCTTTTTAAAAAATATTATGACTTAATTTAAGTTTATTTTCAATTTTAATTTAATATATCATCTTAGATTAAATAATTAATTTACATAATTTTTTCTTAATTTCATAAGTCTTATCTCTATGATTTATTCTCATAAAATAAAATAATTAATAATAATAATAAAATACAAATAATTATATTTAAATTTGTATTTGTATATTTTTTTATAATTTAAAAATATTAATTGTCAACTTCTATATTATAAATAAGATTACATTATCTAGAAAGTGAAACATTTAAAAAACTTACTCTCTTTTATAATTAGTTACATATATTTTTTAATATTAAATTAGTTTAAAATTAATATATGAGATATTATTTTTTTACCGCAATATTTTTATTTTTATGCTGCATTTTTTATTAATTTTATTTTAAGTTTTAGAAATTAAAATTGTTACTTAATTTTTTCTTATTACCTTTTATAAACTTTTAAAATTTTGAAAATAGATATACTTATATTTATAAAATTTATCTAACTACTTTATACTAACTTTAAAATTATGTATATATATATTTACATATATAAAATTTTTCTAATTATTTTAGTTCAACTTCTAAGTTTTATGTCAACATTTATATTTATATTTATAAATTTTATAATACTTAATTTATTACTGATAGTACTCTTAATCAAAATTATTAACAACTATTTATTTTAATTTTATGTAGAAAATATCTTTTTATTTGTTAGAGATTGCAAATTTATTACTTTAACACCATTTTTTTTCAAAATTCACATTGTTTTCCAAGATTTTTTTAAACAAGTTGAATATATATATATATATATATATATATATATATATATATTACTTTTTATAATTTAGAATTTATTTTTAAGAGTACTATCTCTTAAATCTATGGTTTTTAATATATATTAATTGTAAATATTTAAATTTTTTATAACTATAGATAGAAATACTATTTAAAAATAAATTATATCTTAAACTTGTTTTAATTTTAAGTAAAATTAATGTTTTTGTCCCTTAACTTATAAGTTAAATTCAATTTTATTTTCTAACTTTATCTTGATTTATTTTAGTTATTTTACTTTCAAACATATTTTAGATAGGTCATTATTCATTAAAAATGTTATCTTCGTTTATATTTTTTTTGTCTCTCTTATTACAAACTAATTTGTATACTAACTCTCATCTTTTTTTTTTAAATCTTTATGAATTGTTCATATTTTTTTCTTTATATCTTGAGTTTCAACTTTTTTCCTTATTCCTGCTTCTTTTTTATTTATTATCTTTCTTCATTTTCCTAACAAATTATATTGACATCACCAATTTTATTGTGATGGAGTTGGTTACCTAGATTGTTACATTCTCTTGTGCACTAATAGTAAAGCATCTTACTTCGACAAAAATGATAACATTCTTTCTTTTAGGGTCATGAGGACATCTTAAGGTGACAAACATGGTCTCCATCACCTCCTTCTATATGAGTTTTGAAAAAGAAAAGAAAAGAAAAAGATAAATTGAAGAAGAATATGAAGAGAGAAGAAAAGATTGTGGAAAAAGTTGAAACAAAAAATTCAAGAAAAAAGACATTGATTGATGAACAAATAATACATTTGATAAAAAAAAAACAAAAAGACAAATATATATTAATAGAGGTAATATTTTTTTACGAAAAAAGACTTATTTAAATTATTTTTTAAAATTAAAAAATAAATAAAAAAATAAAATCAAATTTAATCTTTAAATTGGAAGACGAAAATACTAAATTTTTTTTAATTTTATTATTTTAATACATACTATTTGTAGTTATAAAATTAAGTTAAAATATTTTTTAATTATTATTTAAAATATTATACATATAATTATTTATAAACATATAATTTTTAAATTATTAAATTATATATATATATATATATATATATATATATTAAAAATACTTTTTCATTGTATATACTATTAACTAGTTTGTATAATATAAGAAATTTTTGTCTAATTACAATACAAGTATGTGTTTGTTATAGCTTATTTCAAAATAAATATTCACTTTTCTTACACTTTATTAGAAGGTATTTTTAAAAGATAAATAATCATTTTTTAAAATTTATTTTTCCAAAGAAGCACAATATTTTATATGTAGAAAAATAAATGCTAATTGGCGTAATAACCAATATTGTCGTGTATTTATTAAATTATAGTTATTATATATATAATATAATATATTTAATTTTTTTAAATAATTAAAAGGATTAAATGTTTTTAAATCAATTTTGTTTAAAGTATACATTAATAAGATCAATATAACAATTATGTTAATATTTATTTGATGAGTTTTAACATTAATGACTTCAAACGTACCGTTGACTAGATATATATAATTATCAATGATATACTGTTTTTTTTAATTTATAATATTTTTTATTATAAATCATTCATTTGCATATAAAAAAAAGTTAATTTTTAATTCAAATTTAATATCATAAGTTAAACTAAAAACTGTTTAGTGGTTGAAAATAAAAGTTAAATCTATCCTATCAATTTTAAATTATTCATGCTTTAATTTGTATGAAAAACACTTAAATGACTTTTGTTTTATTTACAATACTTTTTTTTTATTGAGATGTCATTTATAAATTAAATTTTTATTTGAAAATAACATGTCATTCTATGGTATGAAAAAGTTATATTATTTCAGTAATATATTAAAATTATGATAAATAATATTATTTTTAAGATTCAATTTATTGTTTTATTTTCAGGGTAATATTTTCCTTGTCAATTTTTAAATATGGTAATTAGGATTGTTTTGCATTTATTGTACATAATAATTTAATGTTTTATGATACAAATAATAAAAAATTTCTGTAGCCTAATTTTTATTTGAATTAAATTATCATTATTTTGCGAAAATATAATGATATTAATTTAGTCTTATGTAATGAATTTGAGGTTGTTTTTTTAATGGAACTATTTATAGAAGTTATTCATTTATCAAATCATGAATTTTCTCTTGAGTTGAGTACTTGATTATTATTTATTTATTTTTACTTTTGTTTTTCTCAAATATTATTTTTTAATTGAAGTTTTAAATGTTGCTATACTTTATTAAATTACGTATACTTCTCAGACAAATTATAATTTAAGTAATCTTAATTTGGATTTGGTTTTTAAATTTTAAACTTTTAACTTGATATAGATCGATATAAATTGTGTCCCGTAGTTTAATTTTTGGTTAATTTATTATATAAAATATTTAATTAAATGAAATTTTTAGTTAATAAAATAAGTTTTTAATCAACTAAAATACTTTATCAAATACACTCTGCATGAGATTCTAAGGAGATATATTGATTTAGAATTTTATAGGATTTTAAAAGACTTTTATAAGTAAAAATGTCTGTTGGTATTTAATCAGAATTTCATGTCACTTAAAAATAATTCGGTAGTATTCAATCTGAATTTTTAAAATTTTTTAAAGAGTCAATTAAACTTCATTGATATTCATTTGAGACTTTTTACAACTTAAAAGTAATCTATTGGTATTAAAAAATATAAAAAATTTAAAAGATTGTTATACTAGAGGGATTTTGAAAGATTTTTTAGTGGTATCTATAAATACTAAATTCATAAAACAATCTCATCCATTCATCAAATTTTAGAGGATTCTTTAAAGTAACTTTTCAAGTTCTTAAAAAAATTTCAGGTGAGTTTTTCATCTTTTTTTTTCTATGCTCCTGTTTTTTCTATTTTGTTTTTTACTAATAATACTGCACTACTGATCATATATAATACTGTATTACTATTTCCATTTCATTCTCCTATTTGATAAAAACGTAATAACAATGCCATTGACTTTATTCCTCAGATATATAACACAGAAAACATTTAAAATTTTAACTTTTAAGTAGTAATTTTTTATAACATGTGTCAAGAAAAAAAAAGATAAAAGCTGAAATTGATATCATGATCTCTACAATCAATTGTAGATCTTGAAATAGTTAACTAGCACATTTAACTATTGAGTTTGAGATATTTGTCTATATGTATTTTTTTAATTGAATAAATTGATGTTTAAATATCTAAAATATAAAAATAATAATATATACCCAATATATATATATATATATATATATATATATATATATATATTGTTGCAACCCAGTGGTCACAACGGTACGGCGAAAAACATTTACAAAAATATCAGAGGAGTGGCCACCAAAGTTTATTTTAAGAAAACCTTGGAAAAACTTAAAAATAATATGATCTTTGAAACTAAAAATGAGTT